GCCACATTCTCTCCCATTGGTCCATCTGTATATTATAACCAAAATTCTTAGCCCATTTTATTATGCACTCTTTAGTTTGTTCTTCTGTTTCAAATCTCAAAAAAGGTATATACATTTTAGCAATCACATGTTCATCATTTGTACATAATTCAATTTCAAATTCTGTCTTATGTTGCTCAATTCCAGCTACCTTTTTATCTATATTAAATCTCTTTCTTAATTGTGCATATGAAAACCACTGAAAACCAAATCCCTCTGCAGTCAATTGTTCTCTTGATTTCATCTTAAGTTCTCCATGTTCTTGTACTAACAAATCTGGATATGTTAACCATTTCTCTCTGCCTGCTATTTCTTTTCTATAAAATGCTTCTTGTGCTGAAACAATAAAGGTATTTTTGGGCACGGCCTGGGTTTATATCTATTCCATATTCTTAATATGGCATTCCTAAGGATGTCACGTTTTTTAGTGTGTTGTGCTGTTTTAACCATGATTTCTGGATTTCACAACCAATTTGTCCATGGCTGCTGAAAGACAAACATTTCGCTTAAGGGGTATGTTGTCACTCTCTCAATTTTGCCTCTCTCTCCTCTTTTTCTTGATATAGTTTCACCTTGATCCCAAGCTTTTTATTCAAATATTAAACAAGATCCTTGATGCCAAAAGAGCAAAGGTTGACGTTATAAAACAGTGAAAAGGTCTCCTGGCCTAAAAAACATAGTAGGGACATTGTTGCCATCAATTCTGCAGCAAGGTCAAGATAAATCTGGGTTCAGCCATAATGTAAATTCAATGTATTGAGGGTATTGCTATATGATTATGATCATACGCCATTCTCAGCCACAAATTAGCTACCCAATATAGTCTGGCTTATTTTGTTGTGTGATCCCAGCCCATGTTTATATTTCCAATTATTTTGGGTTCCAGATTATTACATTCAGTGAATAAACTGGTTAAGATGACATGTAATTAAAATGTGTATGTTAAGAATTCCACATGTCATTTTGAATATGCAGCTTTTCTAAAACACTTCCAGAACAGGATTTCTGCACAGACTGGATGAACTAATTCTATGCCCTTGAAGCCAGATTGAAGCTGTGCCAGCCCAAACAAGTGAGCAAAATCAGCAACCATGTCACAATATATATTAGTGAGCTGCAATGGAACCATGATGCCAGCTGGTGCTTTTTTGCCTCAGATTTTCCCCATGGGAGGTGCAGGTGTAGTCAACCTGTGGCCAGGATGCAGAACCAGCCCCCTTATTTTTATGATCCCCAGAATCTACTCTGATCACACATAGATGTACTGGATGTGTCCTTAGCGTTGCAGGCACTGATAGAAATTGCCATCTTGTCTTATATGCTGCCTTTCTTCTTTTCAAAAGGGTGGGGGTGGGGAGACATTATTTTTCTCAATCTTCTTGCTCAGCCTGTCTGAACTTGTTTTTCAGAAATAAAATAATTCTTCCTTCTTCATCTACACTTGTATTCCTATAATTCAGCTACTCAGTTTTGCCATCTGAATTCCTGGTTATTAATCAGTTGTTACCTTTTAAGAAAAGAAACAAACACTGAGTAGGCTTTATTTTGATGCCAAGAAATGGAAACAAAAAATCAGAGATTAGATGTGTGTGTCTGTGTGTCTGTGTGTGAGAGAGAGAGGGCGGGAGGGAGGAAGGGATAGAGATCATACCACAGAAACCATAATGGACTTCTAATGCAATGCCTACCAGAATGGCCCTATTCTGTTTTGAGTCTGCCTAAACTTTCTTGTTTTAAAAATAAAGGATTGCTGTATTACTTTTTCTGAGGGGGGGGGGGAATAGCTTGAGACTTTTTCAATATATTCCATCATTATTTTTGTGTGTGCACTTATACCTATAGCATTTATTTGTCAAATTTGTATTTATATTTCTTCTTGTTCTCTTGTTCCTATCTATTGTTGTTGGCACTGCATTGTAGCATTGTTCCATTCATTTGGGAAAGAGGCAACTCACACTGATGGTGATGATAAACGCTCTGGCCTGTGTCCTAGGCACCCTGGGTATTTCATGCCTCACGGAACTCTAAGTCCACAATAAGGATAATTAGGCAAGACTCTAACAACAGAGGCGTTTACCAGACAAAAGAGTTCTGCAATTGGGAACTCCTAAGAAATAAAAGGGGATTGTGGCTATAAACCAACCTTGCTGAGTGTCTCCCCAGTTTTTTAAGTCAGTGAGGACAGGAAAAAGGTTGGGCAGAGGGAATCGGTTTATTTATTTATTTAACAAATTTACATATCAGTGGAACTCTGGCTAGTGACCCAAAAGTAAAGCATTGTGAACTCATTAGAAATCAATTAAGAGAATCAAGTTAAGGCCACTGTAAAAACACCTTACCAATATGTTCCCCCAACACTTGCTGGCTCCATGGGGGAAAAGCCAGGTCTTCACAGCCTTCAGGAAGGCCAAAATTGTCGGGGCTGTCTGAAACTCTGGGAGAAGGCTGTTCCATTAGGCAAGCCCTGTGACAGAGAAGTCACACTTCCTAGGACCCTGCGGGTGACACTGCTTCACTGAACATGCCCACTTTGCCAGATTTAGTGGGACGGGCAGAAACCCCCAGGGATATACACTCCACCTCCCCTTAAGCTCTCAGAACTGAGAGATATGGATGTTACATTATGCTATGCCCCTCTACTGGGTTTTACATAACTTCCTCTGGGCAGGGTGGGGGGAGGGAGAATCTCTATTTTTACACAGCATATATTTTATGTGGTGTTTTCAGTTACAGTGATCACCAATATATTTGGTGTAACCAGGAGATAGGCACTACATGACTGGTTTCATTCTATTTGAGACTCATCAGATGAGAATAGCAGACGTTATTCTATGAGGTTCAAACCTTCTGTGTGATGTGAGATCCATACTTCTGGGCTCTGAGAGCTTAAGGAAAGGTGGACTATACATACTGTTCTTATAGATTCTGTACAGTATATCCCTTCCTGCAACCACTGAGCACCAGGAACTGGATAGCTCCTAAAATTAATGCACTGTACATAATCACATAAAGTGCAAAGGTTCATGAGTTCAATTCCTGGCAGAGGGTTTGAACCTCATAGCCACATACCACAAGTCACAAATAGGCTAAAACCAGTCCTATAGTGCCTGCCTCCTGAGAGTCAATGTAACTGAAAAGACACGGGATAGATGGTCTCACAAGTAACCTGGCCCCATGTCATGTAGGCCTTTAAAAGTAATAACCAGCACCTTGAAGAGCACCCAAAACCCTACTGGGAACCAGTGCTGCTCATGAAGGTCCATTTCATCAGAAGCAGGTATATTATCCTCAAAAAGTTATTTCATGCACACATCTATGAAAGTTGTATATTTTGAAGGGTTTGTTTCCAGTCCTATTTTCAGTTTCAACGACTAAGAAATGTTTTGTATAAAACATTTTAAAGGGAGGATGAATATCTTTTCAAAAACAGGTGTGTGGAACCAAGTCTTTCCAAAATCTGGATGGCTCCCACACTTATTACATTCAGGAAAAAAAGCAAAGATACAGCTTTTCCAGCAAAAACTTGGAACTGAATAATTATTGCCATTGCGGGGTTCTTTGTTGCTTTGCATTTTATGGAACTGTTCAGATACTGTTTTTATTATATGATTTCAGTTTTAATAATGGATGGTTTTTATTATTTATCAAAGTTAGAGTTTGATAAGCAAGCAGTATATAAACTTGGGAAGTAAATATCTATTTTACTAAAATATTTTAGCATTTCCACAACCATTACTTTTGTGGAAGCACAAAAGCCAAATTTTAACATATAAACCACTATAATAGACCACAGTTTAGAAGAAGCTGACAAAAGAGAAGCATTCATACTTAACAGCCCAGTTCTACCGGATTTTTTTGTCTTTAATAATTCTATGCATGTTTACTCAGCACTAGCCTATGGTGTGTTCTGTGATTCCAAGATAAGTATGCGTCGCATCGCCAGCTTGCCTTCCAGCGCTGTTGGACTACAATTCCCATAATTCATAGTCAGGAAGGCCAACCTCAGGAGGGATCCAAATCACCCGGTGGCCAATAAGTTTGGGAAGACCGAGAGTCATTAGGCGGCCTGGGGTCAAGACCTTTGACTTCAGGAACTGGGGGGAGGGCGAGGAGGGGAGGAATCCTCCCTCAGCTGCGGACGGGTGGACGGGTGGGAGTGTCCGCTACCCCGCTCTTGGATTGGCCGGCTGCGCGGAGGGGCGGTCCCTGGAGTGAGCTCCTCTGGCGACCGGCTGCCGGCTCTCCTGGGGATTGTAATTGGCGGCGGTGGCGGCTCATCCTCGAGAGCCGTTGAAGGAGGTCGGAGCAGCAGTCACGCAACCCGCGCCTTGAGCCGCCCGCCTCGCCATGGTGGACAGCATCTACCGGACTCGCTCGCTGGGCGTGGCAGCCGAGGGGCTCCCGGACCAGTATGCGGACGGCCGGGCGGCGCGCGTCTGGCAGCTGTACATTGGCGACACGCGGAGCCGCACGGCCGAGTATAAGAACTGGCTGGTGTCGCTGCTGCGCGGACAGCGCTGCAAGACGGTGCTCGACGTGGCCTGCGGCACCGGGTGAGTCGCGGGGAGAAGAGTTGCTGAGCGGCTTCTCTGCCTTCCGTACGTCGGGAGTTTTTGTGATTAACTTGCAGGTGGAGTCAGCTAGAGAGTATCACCTAGGTGCGGCTCCGTGCTATTTAATCCGGAATCGTACTGCTTCCTTTGAATCTTCACGCTGCCCCTCGACGACGGATACAATGCGCCTGAAACCCCCCAGATCTCTTGCGTATTATCCGACACTGATTGCGCCTGAGGGCGATAGTGCTTGCCCACTTGGGAACGACCCCTTTCCGTTCCACGGGAAGAGGGGGAGATCTGCCGTTGGTCGTCCAGCTTCACTCACTTTTCTTCTTGTTGCTCGAAAGAAAGGGCACGCCTTCCCAAACTCCCAATCAGGCAGGAGCTCCCATAAGACTTCTATCACCCTTGGCATCTGAAAGAAGTGAGTCCAAACTTAGCCATTACTCAGAGTAGAACAATTGCAATCAAGGGGATATAAACATCAAGGGCTTTTGTGGCACTCAAAAGACTTCAGCTTTGGCATAAGCTTTGGCGATTGTCTTCCACGGATGACTGAGGCTGGTTCCCAACCTTAGGCTGTCTTCAGATTAAAGACATGGTTGCATCATGTTGAGGCCTAATGACTAAAATGTCTATAGAAATAAACTATTGGGGAGCATCTTCTTTATCTTTTTAACATAATGCCTGCAACTATTGCAGTATGTGGCATTTTCCTCTCTTCTCATTACCTGTTTGTTTTCTACATACTGTATATATACAAGCAATATTTGTCTAAAATAGGAATATTTTCATGCATTTATTTTATTAACAAATGTAATTTTAATGCATAATTAGAATGCACTTTTTCATCTGCTGTACTGGAAGAATGGACTGGTCTGCCCAAGATATTTTGCTGGCTGAGAAAGAGATTCTATCCCTCCTCCAAATTAAGAGGCATTTGGACACATGGAGAATCTCAAAAACATTTCTGCTTTTCTCCATCCATATTTGATTAATAATTACTAACAATGACTAACAATTAATAATTACTAACAGATTACTAAGAGTTTGCTGCCCTTTCATGTCAGCTAAAATCAGCTGTCTGAGATAACTGCCTCAACTTTGCCTAATGTTAGGACCAGCCTTTGCAAGGGAAGATAATATAAAGAGATTGTGAGTTGAACATATTCCTGAACAAATAGAAGTGTCAGTAAGTCTGTGTCAAGGTGGGCATCTTGGAAGCCTACATCTTCAGTAACGCAGTGAAGTCACCTAAGAAGGGCATACATTTGTTTCTATTTCTTTTGTTTTTTTAGATTTATGGGTTCAAATATGTGAAATAGTTGCATTACAAAAACTTAAAAACCGGCAGAACAGGTGCTGCTGAATGTTGGCTATGCAGTCTGAGAATATTCTGGGGGTTATAAAATGGGCATTGGTGGGAACAAATATTGCTTATTCTAAGTTCCAAGGAAGATGGGATCCTCTGCAGGGTTAGTTCTGCCACTTCCCAACTGGATCCCTGCCCCTCATGGCTGGTTAAGGCTTCTGGATTTGAGCTGGAAGTTGGATTTGAGTAATAATCAAAATTTTGTTGGGGAGGGAGGATTCCGTCACCTCTGAAGGAGGCTGTGGTGTACCTCCTACTCAGGAATCTGTCTCTCAATCCATTTTGGACAACTTTGGACTTGTCTCCAACCTTCCTTTTTAAGGAAAGATTGTTAAGAAAGTAGTGGCTCTGCAACTGCAGAGAATCCTAGAGCAGTGTCCAAACTTGGCCACTTTAAGATGAGTGGACTTCAACTCCCAGAATTCCCCAGTCCATTCATCTTAAAGTGGCCAGGTTTGGACAACACTGCCCTAGAGGAAGCAGATTATTTGAACCCCTTTGCAGTCAGATTTCAGGCTAGGATACAGCACTGAAACTGCACTGGTCACATTTCTGCAGTCATTGGACAAGGGGTCCAACTCTCTTTGTCCTTGATCTCTCAGTGGCTTTCAAAGCCAAAAACTATGGTATCTGTGTGGACCATTCCTAACGGATTGGAATGGTGGGAAGGAGTTGTAGCAGTTCTCTTCTTTCCTCATGGGACAGTCCCAGGCAATGTTGGTAAGAGAGGAGAGATCTGCTCTGAGGCTGCTATTTTGTGAAGTGCCTCAGGGCTCTCTCCTCCCTCACTCCTTTTTAATATCTATATGACGCTACTGGGGGAAATAATCTGCTGACACAAGGTTTGGTATCATCAGTATGCTGATGATAACCAACTATACATCTTGACCCTGGGCTGAACAGATGATGTAATGGAAATGCTGGCCCAGTGGTTGTTAATAAAATAAATGCATCAAAAGTGTTGACCCAGTGCTAGATAAGGAGAATCAGATTCTAAACAAATTCCTTCAACATGGAGTGGCTTTGGTTTGTGGACCTGATGATTTCAGGGAAATTCCATCTCTAACTCTGAATGGACGGTCTGCAGTTTGGGGGTTCTCCTAGACTCACAGCTCCTGCTTGAAGAACAGGAGGTGGATGTGGCTAGAAAGGTTTTGCACAGCTACATCTTGTGTGCCAGTTGCAACCATTCTTGGACCAAAAGACTTTGCACACAGTCACTCATGCCCTTATCACCTCCATTTGGAATGTGCTGTACATAGAACTGCCCTTAAAGAGCATTTGGAGGTTACCACTGGTACAAAGCCTGACAGCTCAGATGTGATGGGTGTGTCCCAATATTCTTGAATGACAGTGCTGGTTCAGGAGCTGCATGGGTTACGATTTGATTTCCGTGTACAGTTCAAGGTGCTGATTGTCACCTTTAACATCCTATATGATTCCAGACCTGATTATCTGAGGGACCACCTTCTGTATTCATCAGCCCATGCAACAAGATCAAATAGGGTCAACTTCCTCCAGATCCTGTCCCTATGAGAATGTCACATGACAGGACCTTGGAAGGGATTTTTCATTAGCTGCCCCCACTCTTTGAAACCCGCTCCCAGTAGAGATCTGGTCTCTATGGTGGGTATCAGTGTCCATTCCAGTTTTCTGAATGGTTTTCTATGGTGCATTTGCCTAGCCTGAATTTGGCCAGACTTGAAATTACACCTGCTTAACTCAGGCCTTCCTGATTCAGTTGACAGGGATTCAACACAATTGTGGAATGCATGCGGTTACTTGTTGTGTTAATCCAGGTGACCACTTAAAAAGTAATAATGTGGTAAAGGGCTAGAGGTGAGGGGAATAAAAACAGAGGAATCATTCCCACAAATATACTTTCTGTTAATAGAAGATATTCATCGTTGCTGTTTCGGGAGGGAGAAAATATTGAATTTCTTCCCTTCAGATTTTAAATGAATATGTGCAGGTGTCATGTATTTAGATTTCCTAAGAGACATATATGTGGGAGATATTATGTATGCAGCCTTAGGAAAGAATTTTGAAACAGCATACTAGCCATTGCCCTAACTTTCATGGGTGACTTTTTTTCTCTAACTACTAAAACATAACTGCTAAACATAAGTGGAGGGGATTATTATGCTGAGTTAATCTAAGAAATAGTTTACTTCAGATCTCATCTCTCAAAGGTACTTGGAAATCATTTTCTCTCTCCGTTTCTGGTGCAGTGTGGATTCCATTATGCTGGTTGAAGAAGGATTTAGTGTCACCAGCGTAGATGCCAGTGACAAAATGCTCAAATACGCCCTGAAGGAGCGATGGAACCGTCGAAAAGAAGATGCCTTTGACCATTGGGGTACTCTAACTTTTGGATTAAGAATATCAACTGATTCAGTTCCCTTCCCCAATCTGAAGTACCCCAGATATGTTGGATTATAACCTGTAGAGTTTTGGTCCAACAAAACTGGAAAATACTAGCTTTGGGAAGACTAGAGCCAAGTATTCTTAGTTGATTCATATCCCCCTGACAGAACAAACGATTACAGCACTTTTATTAGTTCCAGGACATAGTCTGAATGTAGAAAAAACAGCAGTTAGGTGTTATATTTTGGTGTTTTTAGATGGAAGCTAGTCTGGGAACCCTATATCTGTGTCAGACTCAGGGCTGAAAAGTGCCTCCCATGCTGTTCTTTTTTACTCAGAGATCCAAACATGTAGAAACAAATGCAGGTTTATTATTTTTATTCATCTTCTGAGTTAAAAGCTCAATTATTTACATACCCTTGCATATCCTCGCAACTCTAAGTTTAGCTGGCCAGGCCAGGTTTGAGTTCCAGAAGAATTGAAGCACAATGCCAACACAGAATGCTCATTCTGTCTGATGACTCCCAAGGACCCATATATTTTATACCCCCTTGCTGGCTGGGGAATTCTGTGGGTTGAAATCCATGCATCTTAAAGTTGCCAAGGTTGAGAAACACTGCCCTAACATGACTTGACCACCTATCAATGCTTGACCACTTTTATTTTGGCACTTTTCTCACACCTACTACCTCATACAATTCACATGGGAACTATCTGTTCTTTTGGAACCATAATGTATTGTGACTTCTTCAAACTTTTCAGTTTGGTACATTTCCACAAGGGAATGCGGTAGCGCAGTGGCTTAATGACGCTGAAAGTTGCCAGCCAGAAATGGTTGACACTTCAGAGATTTGAGCCCAGCTCCACGCGGCAGAGCGAGTTCCTGTCTCATCCCTAGCTTCTGCCAACCCAGCAGCTCGAAAGCATCCGCAAGTAGATAAATGGGGACTCTCACCCCGGTGGGAGGAAAAACGCTGGTGGCGCCTTGCACGGGAAACGGGACCAGTTGCCAGTAACACGGAAGCCGCACATGCCCAAAAAAGGCGCAAAGCAACAGAAACCCCGCCTCTTGTGCTCGCCAGCTGGGCTCCGCTCTAGGAAGGAGGCAATTGCAAACCATTTCCGAAACACCTTGCCTTGAAAACTGCAGGGACTTGTCCAGGCAGTCGCCACAGAATCAGTCACGATTGAGTGCAGATTAAAAAAAAAACATTTCCACAAGCTGCATAAGCTGACTTCTTCCTGAGCAAACCTTTCTACCTTTTGGGCTTCCTTCACATACTCTACATCTTTCATACATGCCCATTCACACAAATGATAGCATAAAGCTATACATTATTATAATATCATCTCATGATAATGATTGAGATTATATTGTAGTGACAATATACTTGCATTAATATAGTGATATATGGTTCATTAATAATGTAGTTGTATATACTACATTGATTAATGAACCATATATCATCATATTAATGCAAACTCTGGCCTGGACATAAATATCTCTACTGTTTAATATATCTCTGTATTGTACTAGTTGCAGCCTGAAGCATTGACTTGGTCAGCATCTTTGTTGTTGTTGTTTAGTCGTTAAGTCGTGTCCGACTCTTCGTGACCCCATGAACCATATTGCGCCAGGCCTTCCTGTCCTTCACTGCCTCCCTGAGTTTGCTCAGTTTCATGCTCATTGCTTCAGTGATGCTATCTAACCATCTCATCCTCTGCCGTCCTCTTCTCCTTTTGCCTTCAATCTTTCCCAGCATCAGGGTCTTCTCCAAAGAGATCTCTCTTCGCATTAGGTGACCAAAATATCAGTGATGCTATCTAACCATCTCATCCTCTGCCGTCCTCTTCTCCTTTTGCCTTCAATCTTTCCCAGCATCAGGGTCTTCTCCAAAGAGATCTCTCTTCGCATTAGGTGACCAAAATATCTAAGCTTGAGCTTCATTATCGATCCTTCCAATGAGCAATCAGGGTTGATTTCCTTTAAGATTGACTGGTTTGACCTCCTAGCAGTCCAGGGGACTCTCAAGAGTCTTCTCCAGCACCACAGTTCAAAGGCATCAATTCTTCGGCGCTTGGCCTTTTTTATGGTCCAGCTCTATATAAAAATAGATCTCGGTTGTTCTTGTCCTGGCCCTTTACACTATTGAGGTTTGAATGCTTCCAACAACAGTATCTGAGCATCTTTTCCAGGCTATGTTTAAATTAGCAGTTAAGTTTATATCTTGACAAGAAGAACTTGATGAAATATGATCAGTGCTGTTGGAGCAACTGCCAGAATGCCAATGCTACAATGTGCTCCCTGCTGACATATTTGGAGTGGAGGTGAAAGAGGTGCCTATAGGGTATAGTGTGGAAAGGATGGTTCCTCATCCCAGTCAAGGTTTTACAGATTTTTCTCTGGAATTTATATATCCTTTATACATGAAAAAGAATGGAAACTAGCTTGGCCTTCTGAAAGTTGATCTATGGCATTGTGACTCTATTGCCTATGTCCTTTGTACCAGCTTTTCCCAACCTTTTGGAACTATAGTTACCAACATTTTCAAGCTATTTGGAAGGCACCAAGTTGAGTAAACTGCTTAATAATAGTAGTAGGTGAAAAGAATAATAAAACAACTGATTCACAAATTGTTAAGCCTGCAAAAAGGCTTAAGAGAGGTTGATAGCCACCTCAATAATAAGTCAATGTATCTAATTCAGTATTTGAACAGGGGAGCCCCATGTTGTCTGTGCAACTCAGCAATTAGGGCTACAAAAGTACATTTAAAATAATCATTATCAAAAATTCTGCATACAAGTAAAATTCTGTAATGTAAATTTATTTCCATAATGAATTGGCTTGTAGTCATTGGGCTTCTTTGTGCTCCCTATTCCAGTTTCAGAGATTTTGCCAGACATAGGTAAAATCCATTTATCCTGCTTTTGCCAACCTGGTGCCTTCTAGATGAATTAAACTACAGTTCTATGCTTATAGGTAGAAATTATGGAAGTTGTAGTCCATACTTTGTTTTGTTTTTGTTTTTCTTGCCCCTAAGGCCTCAGTGATCTCAGTGGTATGGGGAAGGCCTGGTGTTGCTGTCATCACCGTACAAATAAACAGCGCTCCAATCTCTAAATTTTGTTCAATAAGGTGCTATTTGTGACTCTAACAAAATCCATAGCAATACAAAATGCAAATAAGCACTTTGATGTTGAAGGCCTAAAGGCTGTCTTTGTAAATATCATTGTAAAAAAAATCATAGTAAAATCTATATAACACTGATTTAATAGCATTTTAACCTCTTTCTGCCAAGTTTTTCTATCTGTGCAGACATACACATGAAATCCATGTGGATTTTGTGTTCTGACAAGACCCTGTATTGCTGAGAATATTCTGTGAAGGAGGAGAACATTTACACAAGCATGATTTTCCTTAGAGTTGGGGCCCTGCTTCCACTGTATCTGCCGAAGATATACAGTACAATCAGATAATTAACTTTGTTGCTTAATATATTCCTCTTAATGGCTCTCCATATAGCAAAATTTGTCCACAAGCTTCTTTCCTGCCCTTTCCTTCAACTCAGGGAGCCCCATTGTCCTTGCCTCTTTGAAGTCTACTGTCATGTAATGCTCTTGGTCTGATTGAATAGCCCAGTGGTGAACATGTCCTTTCTGCACCTTCATTTCCAGCTTCTTGCCCGATCTTAGGTGATTTTTCATAAATCAGTTTGGTCTATGGAGCAACAGCACTTGCCATTCCCATTGGATCAGTGTCACTCTAACCCAAAATAATTAGGCCTCTTAGCAGAATAAGTCTGTAGCAATAGCAGCACAGACTTACAGAATCTAATGAAAAACAATTAGCTGAAGGACAAACCCAGGTCATTATTACATTTATGATTCCAACAACAAAGCCATGTGGTAATTAAGGAAATTTGCAGAAGCATCAAAAATGCAAGTCCACAGAAGAATCTGAAAATTATATAGGAAAAGCTGGATGGTGGTCGGAATTGGCCCACAGTAGTTACAAAGAACAGTTTTACAATGATCAGGAGAATCTCTGGATAGAAGCAACCCCTAATCCAGAGAATACTAACATACTAGCATAAGTGCAAAAGCACCACTGGGACATTTACAAGCCCAGCATGCTGTAGAAAGCTCAGTATTTCTTTCTTTCTTAGCTATTAAATTTGGTAATAATAAGACTTCATGAAATAAGCTTTCCTTTAGTGGGAATGGAATGGAAGGGGGAAAGTGTAGAAGCGAGGGATTAATTTTTTACATCAGACAAGCTGTTTCATAACAGAGACTTTTCTGCAGAGTCACATTTTAAAAAGTGTGGGGTTAGCTTCACACATTATGCGAAGACACAGCTTGTTTTAACCCATAGTTTATTATATAAACTTCAACTGGTTTGGTTCATACAACATACTATAAACCACAAACCATGGTGTACAAGATACAATGGTAAAACCATGTAGCACTGCGAGTTTAGCATGTTATATGAACTAAGGTGGCAAGTGATAATTTTCACTTCCATTTTGCCTGGGAAACATAAGATCCTTTCTTGCCTAGACAGAGCAGGCATGATGAGGAAGCAGAGGTTAAGTTAAATGAAGCGTATCCCGTGCTTTTCTGTTCTGCAGTAATTGAGGAGGCTAATTGGCTCACCTTGCCACAGGATCTACAGAAGCCTGGTGAAGGCTTTGATGCTGTCATCTGCTTAGGGAATTCTTTTGCCCATCTTCCAGATTTTAAAGGTGAGTGTCAAAAGATTGTTGTATAGAGGTCTGTTGTATTGTCAATGCTATAGAAAGGGATTATCTGAGTCTTTCTTAGTCTATACAGAAGTTTACTTTGACTTCGAATAAACAAAAATACTTCCTAGCCGGAATGATAAGTAATTCATTCAAATATTAAACAAGAACCAATTAATTGTTGGTCGTTATGCTGTGACAAAATTCATATTTTTTCAAATAATCTGTTTTCCTTAAAAAATCCTGTTGAAAATTATATCAGTTCAGCTAAGGAATCCAAGTGGTTTAAATGTTCTTCCTTAAATATGGTATGGATACAATGGATAGAATGATAGGAGATATTTTAGTTTGCAGATTCTATCCAAATTTTGAACATTTTTGGACCCATTACATTTTGTATATCTTTTCCCTCCAGGCTAGTGCTGGGGGAATTGATAATCTGAATTTCAATATTGAATTTGTAAATTCAAGAAAAAAAAATTAAAGTTTACTAGATTCTAACTTTTCACAGCCAAAAAGTATGTGAAGAACAAATGATACAAGCCACATGCTCCACAGACATGCTCTCTATTACAGCAATGCTATCTAGTTGTTCTGGGCAAGGGCAGCTCCAGAAAACTAGTTTTGGGGTACAGAGGGATAGCTATAGTGAGTTTTTTGTTATATATCTTAAGTATAAAGATTCCATTATCTGAGTGTACTATTACCCAGAATTTAGGTGGTGTTGCTTTGATAATCAACAAAATATATATTTATGTCCAGGGTAGCCAGAGATTCCTCTGGTTTGAACCCAGAGGGCAATCTAAAGGGAACAGGAAGGAATTTAACTCAAATTCTGTATCTACCCCTAGGTGACCAGGGTGTTCATAAACAGGCTCTTAAGAATATTGCCAGCATGGTTCGTCCAGGTGGCATTCTTGTCATTGATCACCGTAATTATGACTACATCTTGGAAACAGGTTGTGCCCCTCCTGGGAAAAATATCTACTACAAGGTAATGCTAGAAATAAGCTCTGCCTAACCTTTTGTGACAGTGATGATAAAACAGCAAAAACATCTCTGCCTTTATAGCTTCTCAGAGCTAATTATAACAGTGCAATACCACTGTATAGTACAATGCCACATATTTCAATGTGATTCCTTTCATGTGGATATAAAGGAAATGTATCAAACAGAATCAGACAGTACCAAGGTACCTGGCTCTATTTAGATACCTTAATATTCATAATATTACAATAAAGATGGAGAAGGAAATCTGTCCCTGTGTTGTTCCCAGAGATTCTGTTAAACCTGCTAATTCCTTTGCTTTTTTTTTTCAGAGCTGGGTTGGAATAGATCAGGTAGTGGAGTGTATACTTTACAGTCTCCAATTAAAAGGATATGAACACTGACCTCTGTGACATTAAACCATTGCTGCATCAGAGTAGATAGCATTGTAATAGACACATAGGAAGCTGTCTCATATCAAGATGTACATAATGCTAATTAAATTGTTAGCTCATAGTTTTCTAGTCTCATATCCCTTCCAAACATTGAGATTATTACATATCAAAAGCCTTACATATGAAGCTACTCAGCTGAGAACAATATAGAGTCAAATGTAGACAGCAAGATGATTAAAGTGCTGATGAAGGCATAGATCTAATAGACAGCAAACAACTCTCATCACAGTCATGAGCTTTAGAGACTGGAATTAGACATTTGGTTCCAAGCATAGAATCTTAGTAGCTGAGGCTCTGATCCCAAACATTATTGTCAATGCAAAAATCAAAATTGAGAATCTCCACCACTTTTCTATGGCAGCATTGCTCTACTACTACTACTACTCACGTGCATGAACACATGGCACTTTTTTCTCTAGAGGGGATGTTGGTGACAATAGCACAAATATAGTTGAGCAATAAGTAATTAACTACCTATGGGCATTCAGTGCAGGATGCAGGTTATGATGCACCCAGAAGGAAGAGGAACTAGCAATGTTACAAATTTGTTTTTTATTATATGGTAGTAATGTTTGTTATGCAATCTGGGGCTGGGTTAACACAGTGAACAAGCCAACTAAGGAACAAATGCAGAAAAACATAAACACAGAGAATTTAATAGCTATTAATTCCCCTCCCTTTCTTTCCCAGAGTGATTTAACCAAGGACATTACTACGTCGGTTCTCCTTGTGAATAATAAACCAAATATGGTGACACTGGACTACACAGTGCAGGTCCCACATGAAGGCAGTGATGGAAATTCAGAACTAAGGTATGTTCTCTGTGGAACCCACATGATTAGTGTATTTCCACTTTGATAACAAGGCTTAGCACAGCTAACCATTTGGCATAGGGTCAGAGAAACAGGTGTCCTGGACTTACTTACTTATTTATATATGATTTATATAGCTGCTCATCTCATACAAGTGACTCTGGGCATCTTAATCTTTAATCTTAATAAAGATTAAAACACAGAAAATCCATCACATATAAACTCCCAATACCCAAGGATAAACAACCTCACTCACATCAATAACAACAGAGCTCATCTACCTGCCTGACCTGAATGCTTGCAGAAACAGCTAGGTCTTTCAATGACTTAATGTTTACATACCATACTGTACCTACCTATGAGATACCCTCAGAGGCCTGCTCATCTCTAAGAACGATCAAATTAGCAGGTATCAGAGACAGGGCCCTTTACGTTATTTTAACCCTATGAAGCAGCACATGAAGCAGCACAAGTAGAGTTATTATGATATGCATCATGCTTTTTGACCAGAATCCCCAAAGGATCTTGCATTTCCATGAAAAATCTTGCATGCATGGACAAGTTGAACTGTCTGAACTGGGAGTGATTTAAGTGGAAAGAGGGATTGGGAATAGCCAAGTTCAATACATTAATCTTTACATTACTGTGTCTCTATAGTAATATCTTCACATGTTTCTGTTACTTAGCTATTAACATAAATTTTCTGTCTTTTAACAGTCAGTTCCGTCTCTCTTATTATCCTCATCGTCTGGAGCCTTTCACAGAACTACTGAAAAATGCATTTCAAGGCCTATGTGAACACACAGTCATGGGGGACTTCAAGCCTTACACACCAGGCCAGCAGCCTGGCCCATGCTATTACATCCATGTAGTGAAGAAAACTGGCTGAGATCTAGTCAACAGACTATTCTAGCAGTCATATGGGGTCTTTTCAGTGGGTGGCGAGGTGCAGAACTTGTTCAAGCAAGAATAAATATGCATAGGTACTACATGAACCAGAAAAGAGATTTGGAAAATTCATCTTCCCCAAGAATCCAGTCTAATTAATCCACTTTGAGGATTGAAGAGCTCAGTGACATTGGGGGGAAGAAAGTGGGGGTAAGATTGCTTTGCATCTCAATCTCAGTTGCATAGTTGGCTAAAATGTACATTGTTCTCTCTTGATACTTTCCCCCTTCTTTTGCTGAAGATGCCTGAATAATTTGCATCTATATTAGACTATAATGATTGCAGTGATGCCTATATCTTCAAGGGCTGGGAAGAAAGGAAAGAGGGGGGAAAAACGTTATTTCATGCTTTATTGTGTCTGGGGAATCAGTGCCCCTTCAAGTGAACTTGGACTATATTCCTTTTCACTGCCTACTGCCTGCACTAGCCAGAGCTGATCAGGACTGAGTCTAACACAGTGTGAAGGGCACATGCTTCCAACACCTTGTGAGATTCTTGGATCTCCTTAAGCAGGAGAGTCTAATAGGGAATTCTAAGGTACACTTATCATTGTGCAATCCCAGTCATTGGGAATTTGCAGTCAAAAATTATTCATAAAGGATATTTTGTATAATACTAAAGGTAGGACCCTTGTTAGCTCAGTGACTAACATGTACCTATTTCCTATGTGTGTCCTTGACCTTTAAAAACACCCACACCCTTCACCCTCAGTGCTTCCACTAATGAAGATAGTATTTCTATGTAATGATTGTTCCCACTAATCAGGGGAAGGGGGGGTTAGTGGGAATGATCAAAGATATAATGGGGAGCTAGCTATTGTAATAGAGGAGTTGCAGATACCATTAGTAAAGCATCACTGAATCCTAGAACTGGGCCTACTTTTGAAGCTTGGTTCTAACAGAGTAAAATGGCTTTTCCCATTTCATCTATTTAATGTTAGTTTGGGAGGAGTAGAGTGAAGTTCTTAAATTCTTCCTGTTCACAAAATAAATCAATAATATTTCTGGAGGCAGGGAGTGAATTTCTAAATAAATTTCCCATCACAACAGACAAATGGTAAGTTACCTTTTACCTGATATGGGGAAAAATAACTTCAAATAAATTCACTTCCTGCCTTCACTGTCCATTGTAGTAAGCACCTCTACCTGTTTCTATCTTTTGCTGCTGCACCTGTAGAATAAGGCCTAGAACAAAGAAATTTATTTTAACTACCCACTAATGCAAGAGCCTTCTTTTAAAAAGTCCCCTCATTAGAAAGAGCAACACTTTCATTTTTGCACAGCCCTATAGCAATGGGGTGGCAAAGAACTACCATTTCATTTTAGATTGACGGTTAACGTATGTAAGGGTCGCCTGAATTCCAAATTTCTTGCTTTGTGAATTTCCAAAAATGTAAAAGGTTATAAAATTCGTAAAACTACCTCAAAGCAGAGAGAAGCCAGTATGTGAGCAAGACCAGCTGTAGGAAACAATTACAACCATATTTTCTCAGTTGCTTCCCTAGAGTGAGAGTACTTAAAATCTGAGTACTGCTGATTCTCTCTCCACTTCAGACCCAGAAAAAAACCACACACACATACACATCCTATTTCACATTTATGGAGAAACGACAGATTCTCTCTAAGTGAATTACATAAATGGCATTTCTGTTTTCCAAATAAAGCAATTCAGTCTTTATTTAGATATCTTTAAATACTTACAGACATTTCCCTCAGAATTCAAAGGCTCAGGTTATTAGTGTCCCAAGATTTCCTGTCTGATGCTGATCACCTTGTATAAGCAATGATCCCAAGCATGAATGAGGACTGATTTGCAACACATCCTATGCAGCTGAACAGCAGTTCCATGGCTACAACTCATTTTTCTAACTCATCTGAATCCATCAAATTGTGACTGAGTCATTGCTATTTCTTCAACAGGAACAATGTTCTCATGCCAACTTTTATTCTGTATTTTTGGAGTTATATGGATATTTTTCTCTCAGTCATGTTTGTTCAAATCAAGCAGCAAATTTCTGCTGGATCAATTTGTATCTATGCAGCTCTGTTTCAGAAACAGAAGGCTGTAACCTTGTTGCAGCTTGTACAAAATCCTCCATGGTAAGAGTGAATTCTGAGCTTTCTGTATCCAGACCTGGAGAAAGAGTAAAATGGTTCAAATTAAAATCCTTTTGGACATATCACATACTGCATGTCACCCCGGGATTGCTCCTGGCTAGGCACGATGATAAAAAATATATATCTTCATTAAAAATATGTAGATAAATGTTGGCTTAAATATTGTCCCTTTGTTCATGCTTAAGTCAGTTCATAGGTGTTGCCTCTTATCGTATGTCTAATCCACTCATGCCTTATACTGAATGGGATATCATTTCACAGGTAACTCAGTATTTCCCTAAAGAAGCCAGTAACCTTAAAGGATCAGTAAAAGCTTAACCTGCAGCACCAGCAGTAACAGAAACAACATACAAGAATACTGGTAGTCCTCATCTTACGACCACAATTGGGACTGGAACTTCCATTGCTAAGTGATGTGGTCGTTAAGTGAGCTGCGCCCAATTTTATGCCCTTTTTTGCATGATCGTTAAGCGAATCACATGGTTGCTAAGCAAATCTGGCTTCCCCCATTGACTTTGCTTGTTGGAAGCCCTCTGGGAAGGTTGCAAATGGTGATCACGTGACTCCAGGATGCTGCAACCATGGTAAACACATGCCGGTTGCCAAGTGCCCAAATTTTGATCACATGACCATGGGGATGCTGCACCAGTCATAAGTGCAAGGACTGGTTGTAAGTAACTGTTTTCAGTGCTGTTGTAACTACAGTCATTAAATAAATGGTCGTAAGTCGAGGACTGCCTATACAAGGAAAAAAATATACTATAGCCTAGAAATAAGATGCAAAACAATACATTTGTTCCTCAAAGTGTGTTTTAAAAGTTAAAGTGTGTTGTCTGCTTCTCCATGCCAGCCTACAGGTAGTCCTCAATTTACAACCACAATCAGGACCAGAATTTCTGTCACTAAGTGATGCGGTTGTAAAGAGAGATGTCACGTGACCGTATCACTTAGCAACTGCAATCCCAGCAATTCCCCTTGCTGTCATTACGTGAATTTCACTGGTTATTAGCCAAGGGCCCACCCCTTCTCTCAAGCATTTATTTGGAGATTAAATCCCAATCCAATTTTCTAGTCTACTATTCAACAATTTTTTTTTCTCATTACAAAAAAACTATTTATGTGGCTGCCCATCTCACAGCCATGACTCTGAGTAGTGTTATAACCAACAATTAGAACAATAATCCAAATAATAAATGGTTGAGGTTGCAAAAAAACCCACATTCCAATTTATAATAAAACAACATCAGCCAGCAGAGTTTAGTCAACCTCCCAACCCAAACTCCATAGGGAACAGCCAGTCTGTAGTGCCTTGCAAATGGCTAAAAGGGTTGGAGCCATCTGGATCTCCATACTGAATGCAAGCCAGAGCTTTGCAAAATACTTGATCAAATGTTGTGTCTATTCATTTCTGTATATACAAATTTTAAGAATTGCTGATTAACATTTGAGCTATCCAGCTTGGTTCCTTACCTTCTTCTATCCATTCCACTTTTCTTCTGATAGCAAACATCATGGCATCTGAGCAGAGTGCATACAAGTCTGCTCCTGTTAACTCTGCAGGGCATTTGTCTAGGACACTAAGAAGATTCACTGATGGGTCCATCTTAAACCTATCAGGAAAGGATATTGCCAAGGGTTTTAGTGTCATAGAAAAAAGAAATGCCATCAGTATATAATCTTGAGAACTGTGGGCAGAAATCTTCCATAAACCACAGGTTCAGATGTATAGCAAACATCTGGGGTTTATTTAAATATTGTGGTTTGCTTAAAATGATATAGAATGAGTTAAACTCCATATGCCAGAGCAGGCAGGAAAGAATGCTCAAGCTTAATACTTATTCACAATCCCCCAGAGCAAGTTTTAGAGCATTATCTAGACATGGGCGATGTGCATATTGATATAAAAATATATTGAGGATAAACTATCCACTTAGCAGATTTATTTTTAATAGTTGAATATGCACTTCAGTTATAATAATTACTAAAGATATGCATTATTTTCTCAAGAATTGTAGTCTTCCTTGTGGTACTGTTATACATTACAACAGCCAGAGACAGGCACTTACTTTCTGGTGATGGCACTCAGTACTTGCAGCTGAGAATCTCGGTCTTCATTTATACCTACATAAACCAACTTATCAAATCTGCCAGGGATACAAAAAAATATTTTTTACAATTAAAATAAGGTACCTATCTTACATATAACATTCCCAGATCGTACATGCACAGCCAGCATTTCACAATTTGCCCCTGCTTTGGTTTACTGGCTTTTATTCAATATACTTAGAATAAATTGTACAACCTCATGTACTTCACCTCAATAAAATATTTGCCTATAGTAAACATTAACCAGAATTACTACAGTACAATAAGTTTTCCATTTTCAATATTCTCCCAACATCCCAAATGCAGTCTTACAGATTCCAAAATAATATAGGCTGATTTCCTGCATCACCAAGTGGATTTATATATTGTGTTGTTATTATTTACTTAACAAATTTATATATAGCCACTCTTCTACCAATGGAACTCTGAGGACTCCCAAAGTATCCCAATTAACCTATTCTTAAAAAAACAAAAAACCCTACTATAGTAGATTTATTTATTTTATTAACACATCCAACAAAAGTAAGCAAGGAAGAATAAACCAGTAATACTGTAAAGGAAACATCACAATTTTTAGCCTCTTTGGGCAGCTAAGATGCTGTGTTTGCATATCTAAGGGGTCAGGAATATTATCCCAACCCTGTAACATGACAGAAGAAATAACAAAATCAAGTATAACGAAAGAGGTAAGTTGAGTACTCTGCTAATCTAGCTTTACCCAAAATACTCTAAAAAGGTACATGGTTATAATAGCAGACACACAGAGAAAACTGTGAACCTTATACCTGCCTGGCCGGAGTAAAGCTGAATCCAGCAGATCAGGTCTGTTTGTAGCCCCAATAACAAATACATCTTGAGAAGAATGAAGCCCGTCCAGCTCTGCTAGTAACTGGGATACAACTCTAGCAAGGGAAACATTTTAATATACTGTCATCAATCTTTGTGGATTCAGTGAACTGGGTAAAGTTCGCTTAACTGGGTAAAACTCACTTAAAAACCAGATGATGGCAAAGATCAGCTGGGGGCGGCAGGGGGAGTGGCAGGGGTAGGTGGTGGCAGCGGAGTGCAGGGCGGCCAAAAGGGCAGAGATGGGAGGGGATAGGTGGGTGGAGGGAGCTGAAGCACATGCTGTGGTCATAAATGTGGACTGGTTACCAAATGCCTGAATTTTCACCATGTGACTGCAAGGCGCTGCAATGGTCATAACTTCAAGGACCAGTCGTAATTACCATTTGTTCAGTGCCATCATAACTTCGAACTGAGGACTACCTGTAAAATAAAGTGACTCTGCCAAGTGGGTACCTCTGTGAACAGAAGTGGAGTGAAGGGTTAGGGTTAGCTGTAAAAAGTGAGATCTTTGAAATGCATGTAGTGGTGCCTGTATAATCTATTAACCCTCACAGGAAGCTATCCTAATCATCATCCCTGCACAAGGGGTTCCTTGTCTTGCAATGCCCACATTCTCTTTCAAACAGCAGCCAAGAATTAACTTGAAATAATCTTGTTAATGTTTGGAGGTGATTTCAGAAACCCTGGAGATCAACATTTCTATGCATTAGATACCCAAAAATTTGTGACATGGGAACATGCAGTACAGTATTCTTACAAATGCCCAGACTCAAGAATCCTTGTCATGTATTACATTATATATAGGGTGCACTAACAAATACCGATTAGAGAAAGTAAACTGATTCAGAATGCAGAAGTCTAGCTATTAAAACTGGTTTCTGAAGAGCCAAACTTATTTCAGTGGAGCTTAAGTATTTACAATAAGTTTTGCGAGACTGTTATCCTTTGCTGCTGAATCTGCTATTTGTTTTATTAAACAGACTACAATACAGGTAGTCCTCCACTTACGACCATTCGTCCAGCGACCGTTTGAAGTTATGAATGCATTGAAAAAAGCGATTTACAACTGGTGCCCGAACTTGTGGCTGTTGCAGCACCCCTGCAGTCATGTGACCAAAATTCGGGTTTGGCAGCCCACCTGCACTTACGACCACAGGGATGCTTCAACTCCCATCACCCGCCTATCTCCCCCATTTGGGCCCCTGCTGCCTTGTGCTCCGTTGCCCCAGCCGACCTTTGCTATCTTCTTGTTCCCGCTCCTGACAAGCTGTGCCCAGCCTGGCTGTTGGGTAAGGACGGGCTGGGCTTCGGCTGCAAAAAAAAAAAAAAGCCAAAAGCGGCCTCAGAGCCGCAGTGTGCCAAAACGCCACTTTGCAAAAAACTCCTGGAGCATGGCATGCCAAAATGCCCCTTTGTGCCATGGTCCTGGGTGGGGCCGGGCTGGGCTTTTGCTTTGTGCTGCAAAAAAAAAAAAAAGCCAAAAGCGGCCTCAGAGCCGCAGT